TCAGAAATGTGGCAAATCCCATGTGTTTTTGGACCCTGACCCCGCGGATCTGCGTGAGGGGTGGCACCGAATTTCAGAAATGTGGCAAATCCCTGTGTTTTTGGACCCTGACCCCGCGGATCTGCGTGAGGGGTGGCACCGAATTTCAGAAATGTGGCAAATCCCATGTGTTTTTGGACCCTGACCCCGCGGATCTGCGTGAGGGGTGGCACCGAATTTCAGAAATGTGGCAAATCCCATGTGTTTTTGGACCCTGACCCCGCGGATCTGCGTGAGGGGTGGCACCGAATTTCAGAAATGTGGCAAATCCCATGTGTTTTTGGACCCTGACCCCGCGGATCTGCGTGAGGGGTGGCACCGAATTTCAGAAATGTGGCAAATCCCATGTGTTTTTGGACCCTGACCCCGCGGATCTGCGTGAGGGGTGGCACCGAATTTCAGAAATGTGGCAAATCCCCTGTGTTTTTGGACCCTGACCCCGCGGATCTGCGTGAGGGGTGGCACCGAATTTCAGAAATGTGGCAAATCCCATGTGTTTTTGGACCCTGACCCCGCGGATCTGCGTGAGGGGTGTCGATTTCGAGCCCCCCCAGCAATTCAGACAACGCGCCCAGGAGGTGCTAAATATCTGGTTTGGGCCTCCCCCCCCCTCGCGCGGTCAATCAACTAGTTACAGTAACCAGCAAGAAGCAGAACTGTAACACTGGAAACTACAAGCTACAACTGGTACAGGAAACTGCGAATCCCGCGCCTACAGCCTGGTGGCCCCACAAGGGGGCCGGCGGATTCTTCGGCCTCCAAGGCCAAGCTCAACGAGTGTTGGGGGACCCCTTGTGTTGAGCTCTTTAATGTTGACGGACAAGTCTATTCCCCGAAGATCGGGCACCGTGTACATAGAATGGGAGGATGGGCACACCAGACACACTCTTTAAATGTCCACGCGGGCCTAGGGGTTTGGTTTTGCGGCCTCTGCGGGGCCATTGCTGAGAAGCAGCTGTGCTCCCTGGGGCAAGCTTGTAAAGGTAAACTCGGTCTCACGGAAGCACACAAGGAGTACCTCAAGAGGATTGCGATGGGCAAGACCCCCGAAGTCTTAAGCCGAGCCGAGAAGAAGGCCAGGCTCTCGAGGAATGCCGATTGATGTGTAGAGGCTGGGAGTTGGCATCGCCACGCGGTCCACTCCACTCCACTCCACTCCACTCCACTCCACTCCACTCCACTCCACTCCACTCCACTCCACTCCACTCCACTCCACTCCACTCCACTCCACTCCACTCTCCTCCTCCTCCTCCTCCTCCTCCGCCTCCGCCTCCTCCTCCTCCTCCGCCTCCTCCTCCTCCGCTTCCTTCTTCTCCTCCTCCACCTCCTCCACCTCCACCTGCACCTCCTCGTCCTCCTCTTCCTCCTCCTCCTCCTCCTCCTCCTCCTCCTCCTCCTCCTCCTCGGGTCGCCTACGGCACCGGGGGAAACCGTGCACGGCCCATCGGTCCGGGCTCTCGTGCCGCACGTCGTGTGCTGAGTCCAGGCCGGCCGGTTCGGGGTCAGGGCCTGGCCGAAGATCGGCTCGGGGCGCCTCCTCTTCCCTTCCAGCCGCTGTTCTTCCTCCCAGGCTTCCCCTGCTCCTTCCTGGCAGGAGGGGGCAGGACGAGGACGACGAGGCCGAGGACGAGGAGAGGGAGGGGAGAGGGAGGCCACCCAAGGAGGAGGAGGAGGAGGAGGAGGAGGAGGAGGAGGAGGAGGAGGAGGAGGAGGGGGGAGGAAAAGGAGGAGGACCTCTTGCATCCCCTTGCTCTGGGAGGGCGAAGCGCGCCGCTGCCGTCCCTGGAGAGCACGTGCAGTCTGGTCCTCCGCGTCGGCCGTCTTCGCTGCCCGGCCGGGACCAGCGCGCGGCCCGTGTGGCGGCGCTCCCCCCTCCTGGGAGGCCACCCCGCCACCAGAGGTCGTGGGCAGGCACTGGACGGTTTCTCCGAAGGGCTTAGGCGACCTGTCCTCCTCTTCCTCCTCCTCGTCCTCCTCCTCGCCCTCCCCTCCTCGGGTCGCCTACGGCCCTGGGGGAAGCCGTGCAGGTAGGCTCTTGGAACCCAAACGGACTGCGGAGCACCGACGTGATGGAAAGCAAACTTTCAGTGGGGCCTGTCCCTCTACGAGAGGAGTATTCCAAACGAGTCAACAAATAATCCGGGGACGATCGATGTTTTGAGTCTTGTTTTGCATGTGTGGGTCATTGTTTGTTTATGTGTTATTTTTCGTCCAAAATCCGCCTGTAGGGCGCCACGCCCGACCTAAAGCAAACTGCGGAGAACTGCTGAATTACCAAGAACCTCCAAGAGCAACTTACGAGGAGCCCTCAACCAGGAAGCCTGCGCATGGCCTCCGCATGCTCCACAGCAGGGTCTGGCCGCGTGTGTTTCCTCGACTTGGCCCCTTATCCTTATCATCACAACAGCCATGGTTTCGAGGCATCCCATGGCATTAGTTAAAACAGCCCGCGTACAAATAATCAACGAACGCACGCAGAACTAACGACAATACATGGCCCATTTCGCGACAATTCCTTGTAAATGAATTGCCCGGCGGTCCGGGGGTTCGACCCTTGCCAATTGGTTCGCCATTCCCCCCCCCAGGAATCCCCGGTGGTGGTTTCGCTTGCAACATGCTGCGAATTGGCAGGTCCTCTGGGTGTCCGCGGGGATCCCGGAAGGTCGTGACAATTAATGTGCAACTTAGTTTGTCTCAGGAAGTCGAGGGGTACTACATTTTTACAACTAATGACGTTGCTTGTAATATGCTTGTTGATTGGTTGGTTTCTTTGCTGCTTGGAGGCTTGGGTTCACAATCAAGAACGTTTTGCGACGACAAGCGCCAATTACATGTTTCCAGCTTCCTGGCAGAACACCTTCAGGATAGATCCCCCGTCCTCTCCTGGATTGCGTGCCGACTTCGAGGCGAATCCATCCGTGGCGACGACGCCCCCTTGCAGGCTGAAGCAAACCTCAAACGTCTGCTGGCGTGGACCCGAAACACTAAGTGACTGCAATGTGGACGTGTGAGCTATGTGGTGGAAGCTATGGGGCGCAGGCACTGGGGTGCAGCATTGCACGAAGCGGTGCGGTGCACGTTCGGCGGCTCCTCGGCCTGGTGCCGTGTCCGAGTTTGCCGATTCTGCCCGTGGCGGACACGTCCCGCCCTCGGCGGCTCTTCCACACGCGAAGGGTGTCTCGGAGGTCTTATCGACACGAGACGGCGATAGCCGGCCACGTCGATGATGCCACATCTTTGGGATCTGGCTCTTGCGAGGATGTGTGGGTGCGTGTGGGGTGTGAACTATCGGGTGGAAGCTATGTTGTGCAAGCTAGATCGTGTCAGCTGCGTGAGGTAAGTTATATGTGTAAGCCATGCGGTGTAACATCTGCCGTGCAATTTATGCGTTGCAGGCGACGCAGCAATGCATTACACGCGGTGCAATGATCGTGGTGAAAGACGAGTGGTGAGAGCTACGCGGTGTGAGCTATGCGGTATAATTTTTGTGGTGTGAGGTGGGTACCATGTGGTAAACGCTGTCAGGAAAAATATGCAGTGCAAGTTATTTGGTGCAAGCTACGTGCTTGACACCATGGCGTGAAAACAACGCGGTGCCAGCTATATCTTGCAACCGACGCAGCGCAATATGTGTCGCCGTGCCGTTTGTTCCGACGCGCGGCCTTCCATCTTGGAGAGGACGCCGCGGCCGCCAGGGCAAATGCAGGGTTTGCTCTCGGTTTTGCCACGGCGCCGCTTTCATCTACTCGGGGCGCGGGACGCAAGGTTCCCCGTGGGTTTGCCGCGGTGTCGGCGGCGTCCTTTTGGGCGCGTCGGGAACAAACGGCGCGGCGACATATGCGATGTAGGCTACGCGGTACGAGCTATGTGGTGCGAGCTATGTGGTCTACGAATGCGGTGAAACCTACATACGGTGCGGCGACGGACGGGAGCCGGGCCGCCTGGCCCGCAGACGGGCCTTGCATTTGAGAAAATGGGGCGTCGGCGGACGCACTTTTCCGCACAGTGGACAGCAGGCGGGGGCGGGGCCCACTCCACCGCGACCCCACTCCACTAGCGTTAAGTCGAGCCTGTCCCTCTACAGGAGGAAAATTCAAAAACAGTCAAAAATAGTCCGGGTTTTATATATATATATATATATATACATATGAAAATCTGCGAATTGTTTTAGTATTCTTAATTTTTCGCCCAAAATCCGCCAGTAGGGGGATAGGCCCGACCTGGCACAAGCGGAGTACAGCCAGTCACCCTTGCAATCATCCAGGCGCGAGACACTTCCACACGCGCCGCCTCCACGGCGCGCCTTGGAGGCACCGTGGGCACGGCGACCGCGCCGGGGTCCCAGGACGGCGTAGGGCGCGCCGCCCTCTCCGCCGGCAGGGCGGCCAGCTGTTCGCGGTTAGCTGCTCTCGTTCCGCGCGCCGGACCGCAGGTGTGGCCACGGCGCGCTTCCACTGCGCCGCAGCCGCGCGCCAGCCCGCCCGGTCGCCCCGGCCCACAGATGGCAGGTTCGGAGGTGGACAGGCCTCCTACCCTGACACGTCGATTGGCGAATCGGCCGTTTTCGGTTCGCGAGAGGGCGTCGCGGCCGTCATTTTTGCGGGTCCAGGTCCGTCGGTTTCGGTCCCAGGCCGTTTTCACCAAGGGGAGGTTTACTAAAGGGAGGTTTGCCCACCGCCGATGACAGGTCACGCACCAGATGCAGCGGGGTTCTGCCGAAGTTCCCGGCGATGGCGTCCGCGCGATCGCACCCGGCTTCTCCCGTAGAATGGCTGCCTCTCCCAGGCGCAAAAGAAAGCGGGCCACTGCACACCAGCGGGGAGCAGCGCGCTGCGAGCACGCGACGACACAGCGCTCCCTCCATCGCCCCCATCGCCCTCCAGAAATCTCGAACTTCGAGCCTCGAACTCCACGCTCCTCCCTCCCGCTCCTCCCATGGGGCGGCGCGCGGCCCCCCCGAGGTCCACGAGCATCCCGTCCCCGACGGCCCCGCCCGGCGGGCCCCGGCCGCCACCGGCGGCGGTGGCGGCAGCCCGCCAGGCGCC